CCAGTCAACCACGTACAGCTGCGGATGTCCTCGCTGTACTAGAGTGTCATTTAGTCAGATACCATTCCGAATAGTCTTCATGATTCTCATTCATCCTATTCTCATTCATGGTGGACTAGACCTGATGTTATTCATCCCGGAAGCTAGATAATCGGTCAATAAGCCTCCTCACGTACGTTTCTTGACCTACGAATAAAATACTCGGTAGCACTCCGGTCATCCTCCATCCATTGCATGGATTTCAGATTGACCTCGCTAAGGAATCATGAACGTCTGGCTGCCCCCCGCCTCGTTCTCACTCGGTGGAGGTCTGGAGGTGAAACCTCCACCGGCACATGGTGCCGGCTGGGGGCGGAGCCCCAGCATGAGCCTCAGGCTCATACATGGTCTCGGTGAGGGCAAGCCCCGAGCCAGCACGAGCTCAGCTCGAGCTAGGGGAGGTGGACGTGCCACATAATAGTACAGGTTAATGTACAGATGTGTCCGAATGGTGAGGAAGCTGATTGTAAATCAGTGCTTTATGCAATGTAGGTTCGATTCCTACCATCCATATGGTGCAAATACTCCATTCTCTAATCGAACCTATATGGTCATAGTGGATGGTAGACTGATAGTTGAAGGTGTGAATAGGGTAAAGGTCACTTGTGGGACCCTGAAATCCACATGAAGGACAAGATACCAGTACCCGCTGGAGTAACTCTTGTTGGCACATACATGGTGTCGGTCAAGCTTGATAAGGCCAGTATACTTGAAAATGACCTGAAGTGATGATTTGGCCTTGGCCAAGGCCTAATCATGAGATGCCCCGTACCGGGCTCAGGGTGAGCCCTACCTTGGGCTCTGCCCGCCAATGCCCGGTGGGATTTTCTCCCACCGAATCCCAGCGAGTGAGAACGAGCTAGGGGCAACCGTATGTTTAAGGTACCTTGAATGAGAATAGGATGAATGAGAATCATGAAGACTATTCGGAATGGGATCTCGTTTTATCATCATAGGTCGATAAACGTACGTAAGGAGGCTTATTGACCGATTATCAAACTACCAGTTTCCAAAAACATCTGTTCCAGGTTTACAAAATGAGTATTGGACGAGTGACTTGAGCACGAGGCCATACGAATGAAGCTATAGCTTTATTGGTGAAAGTACAGCGAGGACAGCCGCAGCTGTACGCTATTCCCATGCGGGACCCCCCT